CATTCCTGCTTTCTGGCTCTCAGAATCTTCTCTTCCCTACAGCTGCTACAGTACTTCCTGACTTCTCCCATTCAAACCACTCTAGGCCTGCAATGGGGAACAAGCCCTCCCCATCAGTAATGGTAAAGTGACCATGTTTCCTACATAGAGGCTCTGCTGGTCAAATACTTGACTCCCACTCTTGCCTCTCCTAGCTCCAAAGAAGGGCTCAGAGCCTTCCCCACAGATCTAAGGACTGGGCTACCCTGCCTGTCCAGTGAGGTTCCTCCTAAAACAAGAGGCTTGACTCTGGTCTGCGCCCTGTGGCCCTCTGGGAAGCTTCGTACCCCTTTTGGGGGATCTCGGGGTGGGGAGGGACAAGCTAGTTCCCCAACCTCCTATGACTGCTTTCTATGCTCACAGCCTTTTTTCCATAAGAACCTTCTTGAAACTTCTCCCTGCACATACTCACAGAAAGGAGCCAATGGTGCTACTTCCCCTCTCTCCTCCTCAACCTGGGAATACTTCAGACATCTCCAAACTCATCCTTGTGTATAGTCTCACACCCTTCCCCATATGTATAAATGGGCCCATATTTAACACATTTTGTGATTTTGGGTTATTTATTTTGTGCATCTGTGGCAATAAATGAGATCTCAGCGGTGGTACGGATTTGACTGATCTCTGCAACTGTGTATGGCAAAAGGACTGGAAAATGAAAACCAAATCCCAGTAAGGGGTAGAGAGGGCCAAGAGAACTGAACATCTGGGCTGGCAGAGAAATCAAAGTCTAGGAATTAAGAGGTAGGAGTGTAGCACAGGGGATATACCCCAATCTCTTTGCTCCTTCCCTCTTCCTTCCTATCCCAGAGACTCAGGTCCCTGGGACTATATTGGATCTGTCTCTGAAGCTGAAAAACAAAAGGCGGAGGAGATAGTTGGCTCTAAGTGACCAATCTCAGCCATCTTTGTCAGAAATCCTAAATCACTGGAGAAGGGTGGGAAGAAAGGATATGATTATTTCCTGTTCTATTTTCCATAAGAGGTGAGAATGACAAGGACCTCTCTTCCAACTCCTCTTCAGGGCGTGAGGAGGGTTAGCAGGAGGAGAAGGGCTGGGAGCCCTGAGGTCTCCTGTAAGACCTCATATCTCACAGTCAAGGACTAAGATTTAGGATTAAAGATTTTAGTAGGATAGCTCTAAACCAGGATTAGCAAGCAAAGCTAGGGTGTAAATTCCTGGAATCTGACTGGGACCCTGGCAGTGAAAGCTGGGACTGTTGAAAACCCAATTTAAGTGTTTGCTACTCATGTAGCGTGCAGGGCCAAGATAACTAGATCCCAGGACAGGCAGTTTGGCAGTGAGAACAAAAGGAAGAGACTGGGACCAAGCTGACTAGATCCCTTGAGAGAGAAGGGTGGGTATTGGGAGGAAAAATGAGGACTGGGGGAACCCAGGAGGCTGGGTTGGAATAGCAGCAAGTCATAATTCCAGGATCTCTGTTCACCCTCCTCTTCCTCTTTCCTCTATCAGGCAGAAGAGAGGGAAGGAGGGGGCTGGAGAAGTAGCCACATGAATACATTCAGGGCCAGACAGACACAGGAATGGTGGAGGAGAGAGGAATTTAGTGCTGCATTGGCCCTGGTGGGGGCTGGGAAGGGTCAGGAGGCTGGGGAGGGGTGGTGGGGGTCGGTCCTAGGGTTGCACGACGCCGTCCTTTGCGATGACCACGTACACAGTGTGTATGACCACAGCCCTCTTCTTCCTCCTCATCACTTTCCGTGGAGCTCTCACCAAACGCCCGAGGTTTCTCATAAATACAGCAGCCTAGATTTAGAGGGAGGAGCCCAGTTAAAGAGGAGGAAGGGTAAGATGTATAGTCAGATCCATTCCCACTCAAACTCAGTGAAAATTCCTATTTTCTCCTACGTTCCAGGATCCACCTTCCCCAGACCCACCCTCTGGGACTCAGGCCCCACTCCTCTTGTCCTCTTAGAGAGCCACGAATTCAAAGCCCTACTTCTCCCACCTCTGATACTTCTTGTCATCAGACCTAGGCAATTCCAGTTCTAGCCCTTCCCTACCTCTTTCCCTGATACCACAGAACCACCAAAAAAGCGACAGAACCATGAGCATCTGGGGGCTTCTGGAAAGCCAGTGGATATGAGTAGATACAAGATACGCTGAAGGGAGCCAGAACTCCAGGGCTACTGCGGGCCAACAATTACTCACATTTTGATGAGCGGCGGCCCATGTGTTCATTG